GGGCATCTAAACAAAGTGGGGGAAGGACTTAGAGAAAGAGAAAAAGGAAACAAGGAGAGGAAATCAGATCAGCATTCTTTACAGCTTCTCAGGAGCTTCCCGCAGGGATACAAGAGAGGCAGGTTAACAAGCTGCAAACAAGGCTATCCAACCAATTTCCTCCTCTCTCTGTGTGGCCAGTTAATTCAAATTCATAGCTGCCTTGAAGTCTTAATTAATTTCAAACCAATTTGAATTGGAGATCCAGGGGCGAAATTCAAGTTATTTCACTACGAGGCAAGCAGAGAGTTTTTTAAAAAATGAGCAGAGTCAGAAGAGTTGAGTGAATTTGTTTTAGGGCAGACCTAGAATGTTGCCAGCAGGGGAAGATGTGAAGCTTTCCCTGCTGGGGAGAGCCAGGTGCAAAAGAAAGTAAGGCTTTTGCACCTTTAGCAGCAAGCTACCCTGCTAAAACTAAAAGTGCAAGAGCCCTTTTTTCTCTTGATTCTTTCCCCTTCCATATCCTGCTTATCACAGTGATGCACTTAGGCTTAGCTCCTATTCCATCTTGGTTCCTTCACCCAACTGCTGGTCTAGAGGGTCTCTCTTCCATCGCCTCCAGCCGCCACCCCCCCCCCTTCAGCTGCAAGGACTCACGTTAATTTTCTCCAAGGTGGAAATGGTGTCTTGTGCGCTGAGAAGTCGCTCCAGTAGCTCATTGATCCGCTGGTTCAAATTCAGCCTCTCGTCGGCCATGCTCTGAGCCTGTAGGAAAATGCGTCAAGGGGGGGGCAAACGGCAGGCGTGGATCGGAGAGAAACAGCACAAAGTCACGTTGTCTATAATACAAGCTTGCTTCCCTTATTCCACTTCAGCCCAGCTGTAATCTCCGTCGTCCCAAAGCAAGAAGCCTAGCCAGAAATTACCATGTTCCAGCTTTAAATACTGTTTTTTTAAACCTTCGTAAGCTACCTTGGGCCCTTTTTGAAAGAGAAAGGTAAAGTGAAATATTTCAAATAAATAAGAAATAAATAAACACCACCGTAGGAGGGCCCGGGATCTTCAGACAGCAGTATTCAATACTGTGGCTTCTTCCTAACATATTGGACTGTAAAAGTACAAGAGGTTACCTAACATTTGCTTTTCTGGAAGGAAAGAAGGCGGCTTTCAAAATCGGTGTACAATTTTTTTCACGGTTACCAATATCTAAGGGAATGTATTCACGAAGGCTTTCACGGCCAGGATCTAATGGTTGTTCTGGGTTTTTAGGGCTCTTTGGCCATGTTCTGAAGGTTGTTCTTCCTAACGTTTCGCCCGTCTCTGTGGCCAACTCCCGTTCTTAGATTTCATGGTCATACGCAAAACTGACCTCCTAT